ACCCCTGCTCTAGGGCTTGGTAAATAAAATGTACCTTCCCTCACCCTCATGTTTGAGCTCTTCCCTACATGTTGTGCTGGTGCATTCTTTGGGATCTTTAAATCTGATGTATTCTAGCTGCAAACAGCAAAAGAGCAATATCTTTATTGGTCAACCAAATGCGCAAAATACATCATGCAAGCTTTTGAAGCTTCACTGACATTTTCACTAAACAAAGATGTTAAAAGCCATACAGGAGATGAAATGTGATGTTAGAGTCACAGCAGGCCTACGTTTTGTCTCAGATGTTACTTTTGCTGTCAGTATGGTCTGGAGGGGTTTCACTGCAGGTATAGGGTATTCCCCTCCTTGGCCATGTGGTACCTAGGGACAAAGAGCAATAAAACAAAAGTAATAACATTTCAACTCCATTAGCAACATAACTGTTACTTTTTGGTAACTTCAAAAGCTGGCAAGATGTATTTTGGGCATTTTGGTTGGCTAATGAAGGCATCACTCTTTTGTCGATTTTGTATTTTGTTGTATTTTGCTGCATGGCTACCCCTGAATCTGTTTCCTGGATTTGAAGATACCACATTTGCTGCAACAGAGGAAATTTTAACAAGCGGGAGCTAATGGATTGGGACTTAACTTTATTGAAGTTTTTACTTACCACAAAGATAAAACTCTTTCATGTGGACTACAATTGGCAGAGTTGACCTATACAGCACCTACAATTTGTTCCAGATGGAACAGTACAGAGATTTCTTGAGAAATTCAGTGTCCTCTGCCTAAGAAAGGGGCAGTTAGTTTCATGTAGGACAGGGACAATCTGGATCTCAAGGGAAATTACTTTTCTGTTGTTAATGGAGTTGATATTTTATGTCCTGTCTTCTATTGCCCTTTGTCTTTGGTGCCCACATAACCAAGAAGGGGAGTGGCCTCTGCATGCATTGATATCCATGTAGACCAGTCTTTCCTCTTGGATGACAACCCTAGCATTCCCTCCAACTCCTATTTCTTGATATTAAATCTACCATTTCTGAAACAGCCAACCAGCCAGTTGCATTTTCCTCAGCTGCATCCAGCTCACCACCACCTCCTCTTCTGCCTGTGCCTCTCATATGCAAGTACAGCAGTAGCAGTGGCCCAGGCCTGCTCTTCCCTCATGCCCAAACCAGACTTATAGTGAAAGGAAGGCTGGTGGCCAACTGCTTGGTTCCTGCTGCCTCCCTTTCCCTCACTGTTCCCTGTATCTTTCTGCTGCCCCCAGGGGGCAGTACCTCTGACTTTGCACTTTATCTGCCCTATCCTAAGAAGCCAGACTCTCAAGGTGGAGCATGACAAGGTCACCCAATTGGTTTCTATAGTTAAGCAGGGATTTGAACTCTGGTCTCCAGAGCCATAATCCCAGTGCTCAAACCACTATGCCACACTGACTGATAATGCTTAATATAAAAGCTTTGAAATCTAAGTGAAGCTATTTACATCATAGAGATAGAAGGAGCCATAAGCTGTTCTTCATCACTCTCTTGCAACAACCATAATTCAAGCTGCCTTTCTTCATGGAATGGGTTTTCTCTACAGGTTGGTTTTAGGGGATAGTATGACAGTGGCAACTGTGAATACCAAAATTTATGAGGTCTTGATTGTGTGTATGTGCCTTCAAGTTGCCTGATAACCTTTGGTGACCCCATGAATTTAATGGGGGTTATAAGGCAAGGAATATTCAGAGATGGTTTAGGGCCTTTGCAGACTGCCAGAAATAGTGCATATTAAATTGAGGCACTGCCCTGGCTTAGTGCTAGGGAGTCATGGGAATTGTATTTTTTTTTTCTGGGACATTGAGCCTTCTCTGTCAGAGAGCTCTGATGCCACAATAAATTACAGTTCCCATGATTCCCTAGCACTGAGCCAGGGCAGTGCCTCAATTTCTGGCAGTCTGCCATAGCCTGCCCTACAGCACCTGGTGCTTCTTGGTGGGTCAAGTACTAACCAAGGCTGACCCTACTTAACTTTCAACCTACTGTGCAGGATACCAGCCAATAAGACTTGACTCACCATTCTTTTTAAGTTATATTAGATATAATCATATTGATTATAACACACCCAGTTAACTGCTAGATGCTCCACATACAGGGATAGGCAACCTTTCCCCTTTAAGGGCCGAGGAACTTCAGCTCCCAGAATCCCTGGAGCTATTGGCCAACATGGGACTATTGGCCAACATGGCTGAGGCTTCTGGGAGCTGAAGTCCCTTGGCCCTTAAAGGTGAAAGGTTGCCTACCCCTGCCAGAATATTAGAAAAAAATGATGCACGATGAGAAGACAAGATTGTGTTCTTTATACTCTGAATCCTCTAGAAAAGCAAATTCCATCTGAAAACAAAACCCTGGATTTTTTTTTAGAACAAACAAGAATTCACCTAACAAAATACTCAATCCTCAATTTCACAGATTGATCATATGGCTCGATTCCATAGTCAATTATTATATTATCACCATTTGACTATTGTGACAGTCTATCAAACACACCTTTCACAGATGGTTGTGGAAGTTCTTCTGGACAACAGTGTTTTATTACACATGCCTTGGCAGCTCCCCACAAAATCAGCACAATGCAACACCAGCCTGCTTTCTTTTTCTAGGATAGAAAACTTCATATATACTGGCACACCATAGACTTATTTCCCCACTTCATATTGCTTGGGAATCAGTACACTGTTATACATTATGAGTATTCTCCTTCTCAAATATTGTTCCCCTTTATTCCAAGGAGGGCCTTCGCTGCATTGATAAATGCAATGACATAAATAATGTTGTCAGCAGTAATTAAATCCTGCAGGTAAGTGGTGTATTCATTTTGCCTGGAGGCACTTGGCAAATCAAGATGTTTCATTAGCTAAGGTCATGATCCTTTGCATAATTGTCTAGAAGTAAGTCTTGTGAATGGAATGGGATATAGTTCTAAGTAAACACATATAGCATCAAACAGCATTGAGTATTATACAGGCTAACATACCATTCAGTTAACAAAGTAGATGTGTTTGTGGCCATTACCTCTTTAATAGAAAATGTGGTACCAGAGAAAGACAGAACATGGAAGAATTAGGGACAGTTTCCTGACACCATAGAAAGAAGGACAGTTGGACATATTTCAATAAATACATTATTCAAAACTAACAATGGGCACATGTGAAATGAAACAACCAGGTCAGATAAGTCTTGCATAAGTAAAGAAAAACATATTTAATTTCAACCATTTTAAGCTTCTCCAAAATGCATCTGGGGATAACTTTTTTTTTCACCAGCTTCCACATTTCTTATGATTTCTTTTGGTCAGCCAAATTTATAGATCTATGCTTGTTTCTTTAACATGCTGGGGATTTTCTCTCTGTTTGTTTCTTGCTTTCTTTAACATAGTTAAGATTAATCATAGTTTAGGGTTTGGATGGTACACCAAATCTAAAATGGAGGCAAAAACTTCCACTATCCCCATGGTATATTAAAAGAAGCAGAGGAAAGAAATAAATTCAGAATTCCAGAATGGAAGACCAGGTTCATTTTTGTAACAATAAACCATAATTTGTGTGATGCTTAGTGCAGTCATCATAAACAGAGGTTCTTTTTTCAATCTACCTTTAACTGTTTGTTTTTCTTTCTAATGTCCAAAAATGGCAGCATAACAGGTAAGCACCAATTCTTACGGGTGACTCATTTGCTGCCTGAGGTGAAGATATGGAATACAAAGGATGAACACCATCTTCTCTTGCTGATATAATATTTGAGGATGGAACTGCACCCAGTGAAAGCCCCTGTGTTCCCCTAGCTGCCAATCATAAATGAATTAGCCAGCTGGGGTGCAGAATTCTCCATGCAGACCTAGAATGGGACATTCTCCTCTGGCTTGCCTGGGAATTATATAATCACTCCTGTTCTTGCAGTCAGTAGTAAGTCAGTTGTGACTTCCCCACCTTATTTATTTATTTATTTAGTAATCTATTTTTTAAAAATCTATATGCTGCCCTTCTCTCAGTATAGAACCCAAGGTGGTTCCACACCTTGAAGACAATACAATTAAAAACAAACAATTCTTAATGCACAAGTTAAAATACAGTTAAACCAACTTTGATTTAAAGACACAAGTTAAAAGAGCATTACAAAGATATTGAAAACATAATAAAATAAAAACACTACTTCCCCTTTCCATTCAAACTCTATCTATCATCACCAAATGCCTTCTTCACCTACAGATGTTCTGCAGAATTATCTTCACCTACAGATGTTCTGTAGAAGGGAGCAGCCACAGAGAGGGCTCTCTCCAAAGTTCTCACCAACCACACCTATAATGGTGATGGGATCAAAAGAAAGCCTTTCCTTTTGTTCAGGTTTGGCATCATTATTCTGGATGTTAGTGGGTGGAATTTTATGGTTGTTTCATCTATCCTTTCATCACAACTTCATAGCTGACTGTTTTATCTTTGGATAATACCAGGGGTGGGATGGGCAACAGAGGCTAAGTATCCATCTTTCACACTTTGGGGATCCTCTTTACAGATTTTGGAGAAAGTCATTTGGGGACAAGCATAACTTGGGGGTTGGCATCACTGCTTCATTCATAAATGACAGAGGAACCATTAAGTGGCTTATGCCCAGGTGGAATGCTATTTTCTGTCATCCGATGATTTTACTTAGAAGGGAGTTTGGGCTGAGGGATTTCTATAAATTAGCAAAACAGGACCCATTGCCCAATACCATCACTCTAAAAGTTGTAACCAATAAATGTGTGGCCATTTTAGTTCCACCTCCTCTTGTGTGTTTTCTTGTGTGTTCCTTTTGCACCTACCACATTCCCCCTTTCCTTTAAATTTGCAATGTGTAGCCTTTAGTCATTATCTTCCGCAGACAGTTAAACAAATTCTCCCCTTTTTTTAATCCTCCCTGGCTAAAGATCAGCACTATGCAAAAAGAGTGGACTGTCCAGCTCATGGATACAATGATAGATGAGATGTTTGCTTTATATTTCTCCCTAATGTGTTGCTTAAGTTTTATTTTGAACATCTGTGGATATGGTCCCATAATCTGCTTATGAATCAATTTTAGCTGCCTCAGCTCAAACAGAAAGTTATGCCCCTGCAGCTAAATCAGAATCCCAGTGAGACAGAGAAATTGGGTTTGAATACAAATTCCAAATACATATATTTCAAGGCTGCCCAGTTCTGATTATGGCTTGGCCACAACATTTTTCTCAGCATGAGCTGTACTTTGGGAGCCAATGCTAAGGAAAGGCTGTAGTTAATCTCAATATATTGCCTACATATCAGAGAGGTAATAGGAGGTAAAGTGTTTCTGTATCTTTTACATGATCATAACTTTTGACAGTAGTTGATCTGTAAGAATCATTCCTATAGCAACAACACTTGTGTTAAGCCAGTTGTGTGAACAGTCAGAGTGACTGGAAAAAACATGTTATCACATCTGTAATCATACTGGTACTTGAATTTTAATGAAGATGAACTTCTGTTCATTAGGTTTTGATCATGTTTTGATGATGTTGTACAGCACTGTAAGCCCCTTGCTGGTGATAGCAGGGCTTTATAAATAAGTTATTAATTATTATTTATTTAGCTTGTGGAAGGAAGTAGCTTCAGAGGCAGAAATAATCTTCACTCTCAGAACTGCCTTCATAGAAAAGTCATTTTAGTGGAGTATTTAATGTATTTTTTAGCCGTTTTTAATGAGATTTAGCAACTGGAAGCAAGGAGCAGTGGTAGAAGCACATGACCCACCTGCTCCCAATAGACTGGAAAGAAGTTTTTGGCTGATCGTTGATGGACCATTGAATGAAAATTCTGGAATCATTGTTCAGAGTGATTAAAATGAGCTACATGTTGTTTAAACTTATCATTTTCCTCCACCTTTAAGGCTTTTTGTTACAACCAATTACTACAATCCCATCTTAAACTTGTTTTGCTGTAGTGGCAACATAGTTAACCAAATGCTCAAGATCTCACTATGCCAGGACCTGAGGAACAATTTAGACCTATAATTCTAACATAATCAGGAGAAATGTTTTCCAACCATATGAACAACCCTTGGAACATGAGGCTTGGACTCACACTCACCGTCTACTTTCTTCATGATTTCTCTGAGAGTTCTGTGATGGACCTTGTTAAGATCAGCTCTAGGAAATTTCCCAACAGCCTTGTGCTATCATTTTTTCTGCATACTTTGAAAATGAACACTGCAAAGGGCAAAGTAAACCAATAGTGAAGAGGGCTGGCAATATCCTCCATCTCAAGCCCATTGTCTGTTTTGATATGTCTTGATATCAGTTGCTAATACCTGGCTAAAAGAGTAGAAAGTTGGCAAGCCACAAGTGGAATAACAGATCTTGTCACTAATGAGAGTGACATTTTCACCTTCACCATTTCCCTTGACA